AATCTAAGTCTAGTAACACCACTAGAGAGGAGAATCATGAATGAGGAGCTACCGATTTCAAGGTGGACATACCAACCTTTGAAGGGAAGAACGATCCGGATGACTTTCTAGAGTGACTGGAAACTGTTGAGCGCGTCTTTGACTTCAAAGATGTGCCCGAAGAAAAAAAGGTCAAGATCGTGGCATTGAAGTTTCGGAAGTATGCCTCCACTTGGTGGTCCAACCTATCCACCAAAAGAAGGCGAGAGAATAAGGCCCCTGTGAAGACTTGGCCCAAGATGAGGAGCTTGTTGAAGAAGAAGTTCCTACTCGAACAATATGTACGGGACAACTTTTCCAAACTTCAACACCTAAGGCAAGGTCCCCGCTCAGTTGAGGACTATACTCGGGAGTTTTAAGAACTTTTGATGAGATGTGATCTTCACGAAAACAATTCACAAACATTGGTACGTTACCTATTTGGATTAAACACTCAAATAGCTAATGTAGTAGAGCTGCAACCTTATGATACCTTTGAAGAGCTCTCTAAGCTGGCTCTCAAAGTTGAGTCCCAACTTAAGAGAAACAAAACCTCATTTGTCCGTACTTCACCCTTTTCCAAAACCCCTCCAACTACCTCAAAGATAACTCCAAACACCCCTGCTCAAAATACCCACTCAAAACCCAACTCTATCCCGTCTACGTCCACCAATCCACCCCCATTCAAAANAAGAACTTTTGATGAGATGTGATCTTCACGAAAACGATTCACAAACATTGGTACGTTACCTATTTGGATTAAACACTCAAATAGCTAATGTAGTAGAGCTGCAACCTTATGATACCTTTGAAGAGCTCTCTAAGCTGGCTCTCAAAGTTGAGTCCCAACTTAAGAGAAACAAAACCTCATTTGTCCGTACTTCACCCTTTTCCAAAACCCCTCCAACTACCTCAAAGATAACTCCAAACACCCCTGCTCAAAATACCCACTCAAAACCCAACTCTATGCCGTCTACGTCCACCAATCCACCCCCATTCAAAACAGCCCAAACAAACACTCAGACTCCCAAATGTTTTCGTTGCCAAGGCATAGGATATTTTGCCAATGAATGTCCCAACAAGAAGATAATGGCCATTGTTGATTGCGAAGAAGAAGAGATCAGTCCTTCGTGGGCTGAAGAAGAACATGAAGAAGAAGAGTGTGTTGGAGCGGACGAAGGAGAACTCTTGGTCATCCGAAGGGCATTGAGTAACATAGCTAGTCCCGATGACCAACTACAGTGGGAAAACATTTTCCATACCCGTTGTACTATTCAAAAGAAGGTATGTACTTTGATTGTGGATAGCGGAAGTTGCACCAATGTCGCTTCAAAAACGTTGGTAGATAAGCTGAAGTTGAAGACCTCACAACACCCGAGGCCATACACGATTCAGTGGTTGAACCATGGCAAGGGATTACGTGTGTGTTGTACCCGAGACCCAGGGTCTTATCGAGTAATCAATTTGATGGCGGGTTTACGGAGGAAATGGATGCAAGAAGGAAGCAACTTTGAATTCCTAAGTTCAGAAACTAGTTATAGTCGATTATCATTAACTGATAATTGATTAACAAGATATGATTTCCAAACTACGAATGTTCAGAGATGCCCGATAGTCGATTATCACTTTTATGATAATCGATTGTTGGAAATGGCTTGATAAAATATGGAGGTGATGAAGGAGTTCTTTTTGGTATTTTGATTTATGAAGATAGGATAGAATGTGGCTTAGGAAGAGAAAATGGAGAGGAACGCAATGGGTAGAAAACAAGGATGGATAAACCAAATAATGAATAAGAAATAAACACACTCTTATTATATTTGGGGCTGTTAATCACTACTAATGTATAAAATAGACTCCTAGCACACACTCAAAAGTAGCCAACTTTAGAGATATTTCATTAGGAAATTTGGTTAAAATAGCATCACACTATTTTAAGAGAATACTCAAAAGAGTAAACAAATTTTTTCATTCAATACAATCTGGTTTACAATGGCCTCATGGCCGAGATTATATACAACAAGGGGAAGGAAAAAAAACAACAATGGCAGCTTCCTTTCTTCTTCCTAAATCACATGTTTGACATTAATGCACAACCATCCATTTGAGTTGAATTCTAGGACAAAGATGGTGGATTTTGTTTGGCTTTTCTTGCATAAGGATTTCACCCATTTGTGGATTAAGTCAAGGACATTATGTGGCTATGATGAAGCATTCCTTGGCCTATTTTTAGGGGTATATTTCGGCCTTAAATGGGAAAGAACAAGGAAAGAGACACAATGTGGCTAGTCTTGGATTTATTGCATAATAGGACAATTCAGCACTATTCCCTTTTGGACTTTGAAAGGGGTATTGGCTTTATTCATGAGTGGGGTTTTAGGGATGTATTTTGGCATGGAAAAGTCCTCCTTTTTGGTGTAAAACTCGGCCCTATTATGGTGATACAAAGGAAACAACATGGCCTGACTTTTAGTGAATAATAGGACAAGAAGTTACTATTCAATCAAAGACCTTTTGCTTATTTTTGTCCTGTTGTTGTGTGTGGTGATTTAGGCCTGATTTTGGGAAGATAATGGTAGGGAATTTCGTGGGAAAGGTGTAGGAAAATAAGGGGAAGGTCTTATTTAATGAAAGGAACAAAAGAAGTAGAAAATAACACACAAGGTTTGCCTTTTTGGTCCTCATTTTCATCCAAGGCTAAAAAAAGGAGGGAAAAGACTTTATTTTGATTATCAAATGAAGATTAAAGGCTTTTTTGGATATTTTGGGAGATGTTGGGTTTTAGTGGAGCCATCCAGGGGTACAACATACTCCCCTTCTTCGAAGAAAGTTTGTCCTCAAACTTTCGCACCACCGTGAAAGATTGGGGATTCATATAAGAATTCCGGGATCAAATGGGAAATTCAATGAACCACCAATAATGAGGCTCCTTCCGGAATTAGTGGACACCTCGTTGTGTAATTTCCGGAACATGATGCCATTCCTTGTAAGAACCTGCTTCAAACATACCTCAGAGATGAGATAAGATTTTCCCTCACCGAAAAGAGGATAATACTCTATGGAAATCACTTCCTTAGAATATATATCTTCCAGTGTGGCTTCCTCTATAAATACCTCATCAACGTAGTCATCATGAATAAGGAAAGAATCATTATAGTGTGATTCTTCCTGAGCATTAGAAGCTGGTTCTTCTACGAAGACGTCATCTTCATTTTTGACAAGAATATCAAAGACGTCTTCCTTAATGACAACTTGGTCACATGAGCTTCTCTTTTCCTCCTCATGAATCATGACCCACCCTTCATATGGTATGGCATACTTATTTGAACATTCCCAATGGCCATGAACACAACCACCACACATGAAACACCGCCGAGTGGCCCATTGTAATATTGCTCCATTTGCAAGGATGATTTCCAGATTTCGGAGGTGTCTTTTAGAGACCATATCTCACAAGCCGGAGATCGGAATTAGGTAATTCCAACTCTCACAGCTAGATATTGATGTCCATAAAGACATATAAAAAATTTAGAGCCACTAAAGAACGTTTGCTACCTCTTTGGAGACAAATTCAGCAAGGTAGATAGAATTCGCCCAGGATTGTTTTATCAACTTCAGGAGGGCGTATCTCACAAACCACAACTCAGAATTGAGTGAAATCAGCGGCCACGTGTAGCAAAAAGGTCAAACTTTCATACTGGAAAATTTCACTTCAAAATCTGTTGTGTAACTTCCTCCGTGCTCAATTGTTTGGAGCTGAATGTTTCTGGGAAAAAAATTTCAGCAACCTTGTTTCGGGTAACGTTTGTGAAGCCGGTCCTCAAGGTGATCGTCGAGACTTAAGGAAGTCTTCTAATATAGCTCTGATACCAAATGTTCTACCCGAGACCCGGGGTCTTATCAAGTAATCAATTTGATGGCGGGTTTACGGAGGAAATGGATGCAAGAAGGAAGCAACTTTGAATTCCTAAGTTCAGAAACTAGTGATAGTCGATTATCTATAACTGATAATCGATTAACAAGATATGATTTCCAAACCACGAATGTTCAGAGATGCCCGATAGTCGATGATGTACCCCTGGATGGCTCTACCAAAGTCCCAACTCTCCCAACATATCCAAAAGTTTTATTTCTTTTCTTTTATCAAAAATAAAGTCTTTTCCATCAAGATGATAAGAAAATAAAAGCCAAAACCTTTGTTTGTTTATTTTCAAATCATTTTCCTAAAAATAATGCCTTTCTTTTTCTCTTCCAATCCTGCTCCTGAGATGCCCGAATAATCGATTATACACAACTGATAATCGACTATTATAGCTCTCTGATTCTTCTTCACAAAACTAGCAACCTCACAATAATCGATTATCTTACAAGTCATAATCGATTATCTCTGCTCTTTGAAAGTACCCAGCTTTGAGCAAGTCCTTGATAATCGATTGTCATTGAATGTCAATCAACTATCTAGTCCCTCAGAACACTTCCGGATTGAAACATCGATTATCCAGAGATGCTAATCGATTATTACATCTCTGAACTTTGAAGTCCCGAATTTTTTCAATTCCTGTTTGCATTTCCTAAGCTTGGGTACAAGGCTGAAATTATTCCCTGAATTTCAACAAAGAATAAAGCCTTTTCTTTCATAAAACAAAAGCATAATCACTTTTGATGTAAAGGAACATAAATCACAAACAAAAGTCATTGAATGAATAGTGCTGTTTTTGGCAATTTAATCACAAATATCAAAAGCTTGATTTCCCCTTTTTTATCTTCATAAAGCCACGACATTTCTACCTAAAAAGGACAAGGATTATTGGTCTTTTAAATCCAAAACTCTAGTCGGTACTTCCTGAAAAGTGTGGTTCTATTTTACCCTCGTTTACCGTACTCTTTATTCCTTTGAAGGAGAATGAAAGTCAAAACAAAACAACATACATAATAATCGATTTACATAAGGAAAAAATCGGATATATATGAGGACGGTATACCAGTAACATTCTTGGTCTAATAACTTAATTTTTGGAACAAATGACTTTTGAGTAATTCCTTTAAAATAGTGTGATGCTATTTTAACCCAATTTCCTAATGAAATATCTCTAAAGTTGGCTACTTTTGAGTGCGTGTTAGGAGTCTAATTTTATACATTAGTAGTGATTATTAATGTGTAAAAGAAGATAAAAGCCCCAAGTTAAGATAAGAGTGTGTCATATCTCTTAACACCAACTTGGTTTATCCCTTCACTTTTCTGCCCATTTCATTCCTCTCCACTTTCTCTTCCTAAACCCCATTCTATTCTATCTTCATTAATTAAAAACACCAAAAAGAACTCTTTCCCACACTCCATATTTCATCCCTTCAATCCATCATCCATTTCCTTCCGCAAATCCGCCACAAAATAGCTACTCGTTAAGACCCCGGGTCTCGGGTATAACAGTCGATTATCACTTTTATGATAATCGATTGTTGGAAATGGCTTGATAAAATATGGAGGTGATGAAGGAGTTCTTTTTGGTATTTTGATTTATGAAGATAGGATAGAATGTGGCTTAGGAAGAGAAAATGGAGAGGAACGCAATGGGTAGAAAACAAGGATGGATAAACCAAATAATGAATAAAAGATAAACACACTCTTATTATATTTGGGGCTGTTAATCACTACTAATGTATAAAATAGACTCCTAACACACACTCAAAAGTAGCCAACTTTAGAGATATTTCATTAGGATATTTGGTTAAAATAGCATCACACTATTTTAAGAGAATACTCAAAAGAGTAAACAAAGTTTTTCATTCAATACAATCTGGTTTACAATGGCCTCATGGCCGAGATTATATACAACAAGGGGAAGGAAAAAAAACAACAATGGCAGCTTCCTTTCTTCTTCCTAAATCACGTGTTTGACATTAATGCACAACCATCCATTTGAGTTGAATTCTAGGACAAAGATGGTGGATTTTGTTTGGCTTTTCTTGCATAAGGATTTCACCCATTTGTGGATTAAGTCAAGGACATTATGTGGCTATGATGAAGCATTCCTTGGCCTATTTTGAGGGGTATATTTCGGCCTTAAATGGGAAAGAACAAGGAAAGAGACACAATGTGGCTAGTCTTGGATTTATTGCATAATAGGACAATTCAGCACTATTCCCTTTTGGACTTTGAAAGGGGTATTGGCTTTATTCATGAGTGGGGTTTTAGGGATGTATTTTGGCATGGAAAAGTCCTCCTTTTTGGTGTAAAACTCGGCCCTATTATGGTGATACAAAGGAAACAACATGGCCTTACTTTTAGTGAATAATAGGACAAGAAGTTACTATTCAATCAAAGACCTTTTGCTTATTTTTGTCCCTTTGTTGTGTGTGGTGATTTAGGCCTGATTTTGGGAAGAAAATGGTAGGGAATTTCGTGGGAAAGGTGTAGGAAAATAAGGAGAAGGTCTTATTTAATGAAAGGAACAAAAGAAGTAGAAAATAACACACATGGTTTGCCTTTTTTGTCCTCATTTTCACCCAAGGCTAAAAAAGGAGGGAAAAGACTTTATTTTGATTATCAAATGAAGATTAAAGGCTTTTTTGGATATTTTGGGAGATGTTGGGTTTTAGTGGAGCTATCCAGGGGTACAACAGTGTGGATTCCCGGAGTTTGGTATCATTAAGCATTGGACGAAGTTATTCCGACGAGATATGGTGTGATATCATCCCAATGGATGCCTGCCATGTTCTATTGGGACGACCTTGGTTATTTGATCGGAAGGTGTTCCATGATGGATATGCCAACACATATTCATTCCTCATCAACAAGAAGAAGGTTACCCTCACATCCTTGCCCCCCTCTAACCCCATAGCTACGCCCCCATCCGAAGAAGAAACCCCTGTTCTCATTTCCACTATATTGTAAGCCGAACGCCATGAATATGAACCCCGAAAAGAACTGATTCTCTTTGAAAACGAAGCCTCCGATTCTGCCACAACCTCAGCACCACCTCACCCGTTAGCCAAGCCTATCGTTGAGCAATTCTCCCATGTCTTTCCCGAAGATGTCCCTCACGGCCTACCACCAAAACGAGACATTCAACACAAGATTGATCTCATTCCTGGAGCTGCCTACCAAACAAGCCTGCGTACCGAATGAACCCTGAGGAAACCAAGGAGGTCCAACGACAAGTTGATGAGTTACTAGCCAAAGGATTCGTGAGAGAAAGCCTGAGCCCCTGTGCTGTTCCGGCTCTCTTGGTGCCAAAGAAAAATGGTACTTGGCGTATGTGTTGTGATAGCCGAGCCCTTAGCTGATATACCCCGGGCGACTACCAACGACTCTAAAGTCGTTAAACAAATTAACGGAATAATGGCTAAGTGTTATGATTCCTTTTGGACCGAACTTATCAATCCTAAAACCCGCCACATAGCCATAATTTCCCTGAGCCCAACTCCAACTTAAAAGGCCCAGCCATTCTCATCCAATCCAAACCCCAAAATATCCAAAATAATAAACCCAAAACTACATTTATTTTTCCTTCATCCCTGGCCAAAAACCTCATGCCACAACCCTACCAATACCACTCCTTTACACCTTAACTTGGCTAAACAAAC